GAGAAAGCGAAGAAGAGAATTATCGACTGACGTCACGTGTGATCCGTGCTTATTATTCACCGTGTATACACCGAGGCATTCCCCGTTTATTGAGTCTCAGATCTTTTCTCTTCCTCCCTTCCTCTCTCGCTCTCTCGCTCTCTGTCTGCCTCAGTCCCACCAACAACCCCTCGTCAAGATAAATAAGTTCCTGCCTCATAAATAATACGATAACGAAGCGCGTTTCTTCTTCTTCTTCTTCTTCTTCTTCTTCTTCTTCTTCTTTTCTCTTTCCTCTTTTTCGTAGCCCTAGGGCGCCCTAGGGCGGCGTAGGTCAGCGGTAAAGGTGAAATTTGCCGACTTATGCGGCCGCCGGTCGTAAATTTTATCCGCGAAATTAAACATTTTCTTAGGCCGCGGGAACGCGGCGGGATGAGGCGCACATAGCCGGGCATTTATATTTTAGCAGGACTGTTCGCCGGTTCTCCTTTATTTCTATCACGCGGCGGCGGTCGAGCGGAGGACCGCGACCTTTTTTCGTTTTTTACCCTGCCCCTTATTGTACAGCAGGCGCGCTCAGAATGCAAAGGGTGCTGGCGTGTAGCGCACACACATCCCTCTCGCAGAGGGATAAATAGATGGAGGGTATAAAAATTTTACCCGCGTCATTGTGCGTACGCGCATACGCGGGTCTACCGCGATACCGTGCGCGTATCTAACGAATAAGAGCTACGCATACACACGCATGCACACACACACACATACACACACACACACACAGAACCACCGCACAAACCAGGATCGCAAATTATATCCTTTGAAACCAGTCCGGAGCCGAGGGGAAAGAGTGATCGAGTGAGTGTACATCGCTCAGCGGTAACTCAACATCAATATGTTGTAATTTCCCCCACTTAACGATATAACCGTCGCACATACAACACGTGTTACATTGCGCTTACATCGTTGAATGGGCAGTTACAACGTTGATATTGTTAGCGGTGTTACTGTCGATTGATTGATGTTTGCCGAGTGTCACGTGTGATATCGCGAGGTGACGAGTGTCCGTTGTATTAACCGGCACGGGCAAGGATCAAACACGGATGCCTGATGGTTTAGCCGGACGGTTTATCCTTTGGACACACACGCACGAATATATAATTTATGTGTAACACCGTCACGCGTAACATCCCTGTGACACGGAGCGGCACATCCAGCGAGAAAGCCATCTCCGTGGGAGCGGAGCTTCCTCGTTTCCTCGCTACGCTGGCAAGTGGAAGCAGACGTCAGCGCGTACGGCCGACAGTAGTAAAGGCACGCGTCGCGTCAGACGCACACGCGACAGGATGCACCGCACCGCACGGCACGGCACGGCGCCGCGACGCGACGCGACGCGTCGCACCGTGCCGGTCGGGCTGATAAATGGACGGATGAATGGATGGATGGATGGACACAGGAACGCCGAGCATCGAATCCGGGATTAACGGATTAACGGGACTCCGATCACGCGACGATTAGAGGATGACCGGGCGAAAAACACAGCGGACGATCTCGCGGCGTATCGCGCGAACTCGGCACCTGCCTCCCCCCCTCCCCCCTCGCCCGGCTGTGACGCGTTTCACGGCGGTTGAAGAGACGGGGGAGGCAGAAACGGATGAAGAAGACGCGCGATGGTGACGGTGACGGTGACGAGGAGTAGTAATGCGTAAGCCGACGCTCTCGACCTCTTACCTTTCTACGTCACGACGAGATGCACGCGTCGAAATCCGTCCACGCCATTCTCTCTCTCGAGCACAGCACCGCACTGCACCATACACAGACCATACACTTGAGCAACACCTCCCCTCCGCCGCCGCCGGTCGGTCTCTGTCTCGTCCTATATCTCTCGTTCCTTCCGACTACCCCCTTCTCGTCTTGATCCACCTATCTGTTCCTCACCCTCACTCTCTCTGTCTCTCTCTCGCTCTCTTTCTCTCTCCTCTCTCTCTCTCTCTCTCTCTCTCTCTCTCTCTCTCTCTCTCTCTCTCTCTCTCTCTCTCTCTCCCCCTTCCTCCCTCTCTCTTTCTCTCTCTCTCCCTCCCTCTCTCTTTCTCTTCCTCTCTCTCCCTCTCTCTCTCTCTCTCTCCCCCCTCTGTCACGCCGGCAGGAGAAACCCTTCGCGTCCGTCGTCGGCCTCCCTTTTCTCCGGCGTCTTCTTCTCGCTCTCGGAGGTGACGATCGAGCCGTGTTAATGAGCGTGACGTTGCGATCGGGCACGACCGCCGATGATGATCGACGGTGACGGTGGTGGTGATGATGACAGTGATGATGATGATGATTATGTTAGTGATGATGATGATAACGATGACGACGACGGCGACGACGACGACGACGACGACGACGACGACGACGACGACGACGACAGTGACGACGACGACGGCAAGGACGACAGCGGCGACGTCGTCGACGACGGAGGACGTGATTAGGAGGAAGAGGAAGAAGAAAAGGAAGCGCCTCCCTGCGGCACGCGCGCGCGCGAGAGAGAGAGACGATCCAGCATCCAGCTACGCCCGTGACAGCGTCTGGGCAACTACTGAGGATCTGCGCGGTTCCGGCGCAAGCTGTGTCGTTCCCATTTTGACCGGACACGGCGCCACCGCGAACCACCCTTTTCGCCGAGGGTGAAGGCGAGGGATCAGGCTACTGGTACACGCGGCTTCGGAATAGAAAGATACCCGCGCGGACTGGACTGATGGCTAACAATATTACGATATATTAGGAAATATATAAACACTCGGCCCTTTCTTTCCACCATATTTTCACGCCGATACTCACGTCGATACCGCGCGATTGATTTCGATATTTCATGAACCACCACTACTGCCAGCAGCATCCGAGAGACGTGCAGATTCCTTTCCTCTCCTCCTCTTTTTCTCCTCGGATTTCCCGTAAATCTCGAGACGCGAGTCTCGAGGCTCCTGCTGGCGACGAACTGTTTTGCCAATTAATCGCATACTCGGATGCGACGGATTCGTGAGATTAGTTACAACGTCTCCTCTTATCTTTGTTTCTAATTAATTTCTAATTAATTAATAACCTACAGCAAAATATGTATCAATGTTCCCTAAGATGAGCATCCTTGGTACATTATGAGAAAAAGAGAGTGACTAGAATTGCATGGCGTATGTTGCAAATTAAATTTGAATATGTCTCCTGCGAGAGCTCAGTTTCGCCGCCTCCGAATTGTTATTCTTCTTGGTCGCGCGCATTCGGGAAGAGAGAGAGAGAGGCGAGACGTATCGACGCTCACTTAAGATTCCATTTGATTAAAGTTTATCGGGACCGGCACACACCGGCGCCGTGCTGCCTGCCAGGTACAATGCCGATCGAGGCCGCGAAGATTACGCGGCATCTCGCGAGATGAGCCGCCGAGCGCGGTCGATACGGCGCACGATGTTGGAGGCGACCGCAGCCCAAGCCGGCGAGCGATATCGTACGTCGTTAAAAAGGTGAAGCCACCCCCTTTTATCCGTCGCGGCACGATCGTCAGTAAATTCGACGGGCTACGTGACGGGATCTCGTTACAATTTACTACTGAGAACCGGACGTGTAAATAGCGACGAACAGGCGATATTTCGCGATGTTACCTCGTGATCGGAATCACGAGGTCCAAGGAGTCAAGACACCGGAAGTGATCCTGCACCCTTCGTGCACCTCGCGTCACGATGCGTCCAGCTTCGGTCTCTTCGCGCGCTTCCAGAAAATCCCACAAAATAGCTCGTTTTAAATATATTAAAACTGCGAATTTTAATTAATTCGTGAGAAATATGACAATATTATTCGTGTGTTCGTTCGACATTATATTTGCTTGGGAAATTGTATAATTTTATGTATATTTTACAAAAAGTAGGATTAATCGTTAAATACGAATATTATATATGAAATTATTTAATTTCCTCAGTCTGAATAACTTTGTAGGCGTACGCCGACATAATTACACAGAAATATATATAATTATTATATACAAATTATATATCTGAGGGGAATTATAATCAAAATCCGAGAATGGGGTACCCCTCTAAATATATGTACACGTGCTTCTACCAACCTTCATATAATGACCTTATAAAATGATGTAAAATTTAAAAGCGAAGCTAACAACGCTCGACACACACACACACACACACACGACAGCCGTCGAATTTATTCACGAGTCGAACGAACGATTCGTTGCGAAGATCAATTTTCCGGTCATGTCCGTATCATTATTAGTAATTAGCCTTGTCAATAGACGTAACATCCGCGTATGTTTACGCGGAGCTGTCGTTAATCCTAAATTAGCGCGAACCGCAATTAAATAAATAACGAACGGGGCAATAATAGACTGGTAATTTAGCGGGCGATTAGGAGATCAATTAACTATAACACAGGGAGAGGGGTGGCTGACTCATAGAAATAATAATTGTATCTCGAACAAGCCGTCGATGTCGTAACGAAGTAACCCGGTATTCCGGCGTCAGTCGGAATTGGCAGTGTCAGCGGGAGGATATCGAAGGTCGAGGGTTTTCGGGACCCTTGTCGATTAAAAGCGCCGATAAAAGTCGCGCTCGTGCTGTTGCAATCGCGGGCATCGCTTGCGCTCGCCGCATTGGTATCGCCGCCGTGTTTTGTCGACGGACACGTGGCGTTGGAGCAAAATCACGGATATCAATCGCAAATAATAATCGCAGACTCCCCGTTTGAAATCGCTCGCGTAAAATCGGGCTCATTAGCGAGTACGCGTCGCTTGAAATTGTCACTTCGCTCAACCAATTATCGCCTGAAATTCACGCTGTTTGAAATCGAATCGCGTCTATTGGGAAATACTGCCGCCGGTGCGCGATCTCGATATCATCGACGCTGCTCGAGATATGACCGCGGCTCGTTCGAAATCGCCGGCGACGGGGGCGATCGAACAATTGGTCGTCGACCGGCTGAAAAGCGGCACGACGGCGGATGAGGAAGCGGGCAATTTCGATTACGCGGTTGCGATAAATCGTTGGAGCATGAGACTGCTGGGCATGTGGCCGCTGGACACATCGCGTCTCTCCCATCTCAGATGCGGCCTGAGCTTCGGAACGATGCTCGTCATCAACTGTCCCGCGATAGTGTATCTGTTTATGATAACGAACTGGGTGGCGATAATGAATCAGGCCAACTTGACATTCCCGTTATTCTTCGCATATGTGAAATTCGTTCTCATGAAGACGAAGGCGAAAAACTTGCGGCTCATCCTGCGGAGCATGAGCCGCGATTGGGCCAATTATCGTTACTTGTCGGCGCGAGACCGACGTGCCATGTTCCATTACGCGAAGAAAGGCAGGCAGATCAATGTGTTTTGCTTCGTATGGATGATGTTAGCGGTCGGAGGTGAGAGGAATCACGAGACGCGTCTTCGAACTCTGAACGAATGCTCTCTCGTTCGGCGCGTGAACCTGGAAAAATCGGCTGTTTCAATTCCTGTGTTATTTCTGTCATTCAATTGTGTTACCTTCACGCCAATACGTTAAATGCCGTGTCGATGACCGGCACTACCAGATTTCACTAGCATTACCATATTTCACTAAATTACCTATAAATTGCATGTATAATTAATCATACTTGAAAAATCGACTAGAGAAATGAAACGAGATAAAAGATTCATGCAGATACACGAATTGCACTCATCTATGTATCTTCGACAAGAGCCAATCGCCAGCTGTGCTTTCGCGCAATCAACGAACACTAACGCGATAATCAACACGTTAAATCGTCATTTAATTATCACTCATCATCACCGACAAATTCGCGAATCGCGCGATAATAACACGAACGATACTTCACTGCAGTGTACATAATAACGCCGCTCGTTGAGAGCGCGTGGCTGAGCGGGCAGCTTGCAAACGCGACCAGCAGCAGATTGCCCACCGACGTGTTCTTTTCCCTGGAGCAACCGTACGCGTACGAGATGATGTACGTCGGACAGTCGATCATAGGCCTGATCAGCGGCACGGTGATATTCTCCGTCGACTGCTTCATCTGCATCGTTGTGTTTCACGCGTGTGGACAGCTGGACGTGTTGGCCGCGACCTTGGAGCGGTACGACGGCACCGTCGAGCACGATGGCACGAAGGACGCGTGTTTCCGCTCTTGCGCGTGCTTGCCGTGTATCGTGAAGCGGCATGTGCACATTCTCAAGTATGGCTAAGTCTCGACCGCGTCTCCGCGGCGGGTGAAATTTGCGCGTGCCGAGTGTAGATTCTTCATTTCTCGAGATTCACGAGAGATTGTTGATGGTTCCTATTAACGGCGGTGTTTCAGTTACATGAACGTCGTGGAAAAATCCTTCAACAGCTTCATCCTGTTCCAATTACTGCTGACCACTGTTATTCTGGCACTGCAAGGCTTCCAGATCGTCTTGGTAGTGTCTATAAATAAGTATATGTATACGAAACTATACAAGTATATACGGTACCGTAGCGTATTGTTCTTGAATCGCGCTATTTAAAAAATATGTGACATACTTACGTGTGTTCCGATAGAAATCACTAAGGTAACACGAAGTGTCCTTGAAATAGTTCTCGCTAAACTCCGGAACTCTAAATGCTCCGCTCGTCTCGAAGATGAAAGAAGAATGACGCACGGTCTTCGATCTTCATCCTCGAGGCGAGAGTTGGCCGGAAAACTTTGGTGACCTATAACGGAAGTATTGACTTTCGGAAGAGCAATATGTTATATTTTGTATTTTCTTTTCACAAAATGATGCGCATTGTGTTGTGGATGATATATAGATACGAGTCACTGCAAGAAAATTTCCTGTTTCAGTTTGTTCGTGACAACAATGTTACCGGTTTCCTTTCGTACATCATATACGGGGTATTATTTACATACTATATGTTTATATATTGCTATGTTGGAGAGTGCATTATCGAAAAGGTAATTCACGAGTACTAATCTCCCTCCAATTGCATCTTCCCTTTCTTTTGTTTCATAAAATTTTGAAATAATAATGTAGGATAAATCATCTAAGAATATAAAAGAATATCTAAGAATATAAAAAAGGAATATTAATGATGTGAAAATCTCAGAACAGATTTTTTTTTAAGAGAGCGCGAAAGGAAATCTATATTATAGATTGTAACATATAGATAGCGAATTACTCGAACTCGCGATTTACTTTGAGAGACTTAAAATGATCTAATAGAACTCTTTAATCTTCTGTAATGTAATAATTAACTAACGTAATTTTCGTGCATGGCGACGAGAAGAGCGAAAATATTGGAAGAACTGCATATAATCTAAAATGGATCAATTTCCCGCCGAATTATGCTCGACCTATTATATTGTTAATAACACGCTCAAGGAGACCCTGCAAAATTACCGCTGGGAAATTCGCCATAATGTCCCTCTCTTACTATAAAACAGTAAGTTTTCTTTCCACCACAAAAATTAATCTTCCAAACTTCCTTTCCAACTTATTAATATTAATTATTATTAATATTAATTAATCCGTAATCTATTCTATACGCACAAAGATTATAATGACATCGCTATCGTATGTGTCCGTTCTTATGGCGTTTAAATAAATGACACTGACTGGTAAATGGCAGTAAATATTTGCAATGTATTATTTGCCACATATCGGATTATACAAAAAAAAGTATTACAAAATGCCAATAGATATTCTAGAGGTAATATTTTTTCAATATTGTCGAAATATAAAAGAATTATCCCACTCTTATATGTGACCGCTACTAACGTAACCAACTGTTTTCAGTTAGAAGAATAAAAAGAAGACAAAACGAAAAATAGTAAAATACTTGAGTTCTTGATAAAAATAGATATAAATAAAAATTACTTATAACTACTATGTACTTTTCTTCTTTCTCCTCCTTGAATCGCATATTCTTTGAGGAATTCAAAGTCGACTTTTCTTAAATGAAAATTCTTTATCTCCTTGTTTTATAATAATTTACTTTGTAACAAAAAAAAAACGTTATCAAAATTTGTACGTAATTCGGCAAAGAATATGAGATGTACAAAAAATATATCACGTTGCAATAACTATAAACCAGAAAAATATAAAAAAAGAAAGAATTCTAAGTGATAAAAAATTACAATGTAAAAAAATTGAAAATCAAGATATAAAATATTGATTACAACAAAACCTAAAATAACTTGTAGTACATAATTAATTAAGCCTCAATGAACCAATGAATAATAATTAATATTGCGACACTTCTGCGTTGACCAGGTGGGATTTTCGTAACATAATAATAATAATAATATGATTGCGGTACTCGAAAAAGCTCACATTACGAAAACAGTCTTCATACTCATTTGTGCACTTCCCAATCGTTATGAATAAGTAAATGCCTTTGGAAAGCACGAAATCTAACATACAATTTGCTACATTTGTTACAAATGTAATACTTTCCGTAGACATCGTGTGACAAATGATGCACTGTTTTCAGATGATGCACTAATGACGATTTATATCTGTAAATTCGTTTGTCATATGAATACATATTCCATATTTACAGAAAGCACGCTTGATCATTTGTGTTCTTACCTGTATATTTTTTGGCAAATGTGACATTTGAAATCTTCCTTGTCGAAACTGCAATGAGTAAAATGTTTCCTAAACTTGTTCTCGTTGAACAGCCTACTACACTGAGTACACTGGATAACATATAAATCTGAAGGCAAAAATGATCCATCACGTATACCTATTATAAGAGCGAAGGCAATTCAAATACAATAGAAACTGAGATTGACACTTCTTTTTCATTTACCTTTCTTACTCCTGTGTGGTCGGTTTTTGGAAACGAAAGCTTTGGTTGAGGCAGTAATTTGATCTTGAGAAGCTTTGCATATCTCCAACGAAATGCCTTCTATATTCTTCTCGAAATGTTCCGTTTTATCGAGATCTTTTTTATGTCCCGTAGATCCCGTTGATTCGTCATCAGAGTGCGTGATGGGTTCTGCAGAATGCGTTTCCACGTGGTTCTCTTGCAATCTCGTATCGGTTTCCGAGTAAAAAATTTCCAAGTCGCTTTGCTTTACAGGTGTTGGCGCACTAGCGTCGTTCTCTGTTAACTTCGTTGTGTCACAGCTACTAATGTTGTTGCAATCACACGCGCTCTCTTTCGTGACGCACGTGTTCTCAGCTTCCTCGTAGCGGAAAATCTTTTTATCGAAATCGTCTATGTCAGCGAATATATGATAATAATCGCTAGTATACAAATCATACGCGCAGGGTGTGAAGAATTCCGTCTCCATGTTGCTGTTAACATCTCTCGGAACTGAATCCTCGCACAATATGAAGTCTTTGTCACAAGACGTACAATTCGCACAAGTACAGGTGCACAATACTTCAGACGCGAATAAGAAATTCGATCTGGTGTTCTTGCTCATCGAATCATCTTCCAAGTTATCTCTATCCTCGGAAAACTCGTAACTCAATAGATCCTTTCGAAACGCTGCATCCTGCTGCATCGTGTTGCACTCTGTTGATTTGCCAGAAATGACACTGTTACAAACCGTATTACGCTTCTTCTCGGGATTGTAAATATTGTTATCGCGATATAAAATATCGTCCAATTTCGTCTCAACGTCCATGATGTCGGTAAATACTTCGTCGCCGAAAAACTTATCGTTCGTGACATTTTGCACGGCTGTCTGGTCCGTCGCATCAACAACACCTGGAACAATAGTAGATCCAGTGTCAAGTCCTGACAACTTAGCTGTCTTTCTATTATCGGATTTGCGACTCGCTGCTCCCCTTGATTTTTTAAACATACATTTTTCCTCTTTACCGCTGAGTTTATTGTTTATCTTCTTCGTCGAGGTATCTCCCTTGTGACCTAGTGAAGCATACAGCGTTTCTAATTTGCCAATCGTCTGCAGTGCATTTTTGACTTTCTTCTTATTATTCCAGTTCAGTGCATCGTACCGCGTGTCTAAAGGATGGTGCACTTGTTTCCTCTGATGGTGCGACTTCGGCGACGCGACCTTATTGTACTTGCTGTTCTTGTCCGAGTCGGCTCTGGATAATGTTGTATTTGAATCGAAAGACATATTTGTATCCTCCGTGTTGGATATGAAGGAGATGTCGTTCTTGTTCAGTATGAGTGTTTTGCAATTCTTGTATGCCTTCGCATTGCTGCTCCTCAAAATATTCGGCAGATTTCGCGTGGGTTGCGCTGCGACTTGTGCATTCGCATCGTCGTCTGGGAGACCATTCTCACTGGCTCCCACTTCGGGAAACACATACACGTAGCCGTTTTCCATACTTTCTTCGCCGATAATTCGCAGTTCTTTCCCCATGTGCTCTGTGCTTCGTCGTACCTTTAGGCAATAAACAAGACATTAGTGTCGTCGCTGCAAGCGATCGTGATGCGGACGTTTATACGGACGAAATCGCACGTAGCGTTTCTATTGTATCACCGACTGATTGATCATCAGATTCATAATTACATCATGCAATTACGTGATGATATATCTGATTTCGACGATACAGATACTGTAGGTATGCACGTTCGCTTAAATCCGTTTAAAGCCAACTTGAAAAACGGAAATATCGATAATTATATCAATGAATTATAGCAATGAAATAACGCTCTCCCTCCGTATACATAGATACGATTTCATAACAATGTTATATAGTGCACAGACTTAATATTGGTCCATCTGATCCCCGTCATAAAACTTCAAAATAACGTTAAGATTAAGATCGTGAACTCAAGAATTCTATCGCAAAGTACGAACCGTTTAAGGTTCTTGCGAACTAATTCGTCCATTGTTACAAGATGACAAAAAGAAAACGTCGAATTTAGTCACAAGCGTAGCGATAATCCAAATGTCAAATGTATACACAGATAAGTCAAAGTGCAAACACTACGCTTACGGTGAGCGATAAGATATCTTACTGATAAAAGACGCGTGTTTTATCGTTTACATAATTAATTCAACGCGAAATTTAAGATATTTTTAACACGGGGGGACTCTTGCGCGTTCACACATGTGAAACGTGGTCTACAATGACAGTAAGCGGTAAGAAGTAAGCGTAAGCCGTAAGAAATAAACCAATCACAGTCGATTATGAGAAAAATAATCAACTGTAGTTGGTCCATTTCTTACTTACTGTTCACGTTTACTTCTTACTGCTTGCGACCGTTGTAGACCACGCTTGAGTCTGTGAACGTGCATGGACACAAAAGTTGATCACCAACGCATCTCTGATCGTATACGCGGAACGATAAAAAAAAACGACGCGATAAATGCCGGCTAAACGCAGAATAGGACGCGCATATATATTCCCTTTATTGTCGAAAATCACGAAATCAGCGATCGATATTTTTTCAATTAATATACCATCACACACAAGTGTTTTCGTTGTCAATGAACTTGGTTTGACAGCTGTTTACTAATCTTCTGTGTTGTAACGAAACAACTCAACGACGATCTCGGAGAATACTGTCAATGCAAACACTACTAATCCATCGATCGCTTACGGCGAACTAAACGAACGAACGAGCAAGCCCCTATCAGAGCTAGCCGGCTCGCTCACGGAGACACACAAAAGAGTGTCTCTTACCGTTAAGCAGAAAAAGAAACCTGAGAAGTCCTTGGGACCGTAATAAACACCAGGGAGATTCCTATGGTCCTCGGATCATAAACATTACCGCTCTCAACGTGGTAATGTGCGACCCTTCCGATTTCTAAATACTATACATGATACATTCACACTGACCGCTAGTGGATTCTGCGAAAAGCCTGTCTGACGCAATTGTTTGTCCCCGTCGATATAACACATATACAAGACACAGAGGTCACTCTGCGTGAAACAAAAAAACAGAAGATTCGATGTAGTCCGATAGAGTCCGGTATATAATGGCTTATTCTGCACTCTTTTATCGTTAAAAATGATTCGAAAAGTGGTTTATAAGATTCTAAGTAGGTTATAAGCTTCGATCGGCTGTAAGCCACTCTAAAGTCACTTTTAGTGATGAAAGAGGGTTCAGAATATGGGCAAGAGTACAGGCTCCTTACATAACACATAACACATAAGAGAATAAACCAATTAGTTTTCTTCATTTGCCTCCTCAGGACAGAAATGAAGAACTCTGATTGGTTGATTCTCTCATGCGTTATGCAGAAGTCTGTACTCTGGCCCTATAGGTCCGTCGCTGGAACCGTTATCATTTCAGTCTGAAGTGCGGTCCGTTAGACCAATTCCGTCTCATAATTGTTTAACTTCACGTCTTTGACGTTCAGGGGAACGGAGGGAACTTTGGATTATGATTTAGGAGGCAACAAATCTATTGTGAGGTGTAACAAGTAACACGGTAATAAAGTATTTTATTGGATTAAACGAAGGTGTATAAATTCGGAAAGCAATACATCTGTAAATGGATTGACTTTCGCTTGTGCAAAAAAAACAATGAGTATATAAAATAAATAAAGTGTGAAATATTTTCTTCCCTCACACTCTGATCTTGTAATATTTGTTACATTACAGTATTCTGTAATTACCTAATATAGACAAAAGATCACCAATCGTTGTCATCATAAAGGTCTTCATTATCATTTTTTAGGCTTGAAAATAAGACATCCATCACTTTGGGTCGGGGATCTTCTTTGATCTTTGTTGGCACCGCTTCTGATTGTCCCAACATCCACTCTAATTCTGCATAATAAAATAGTACTGTATACAATGTATATTTCTTTTGTTTTATATTTTGCAAAAGGTGCTTTAGAGCCAAGTATATTACCTGCTTCTGTCAATTTCATGCCACGGAGTTCAAGTGGTCCAATAATTTGTTTGACTATGCTTCCATTATGATAGATGAATATTGTAGGAAGATTACTATCTAGCCAGTTATAGATACAAGTGGTGGAGATGCTCTTTAAAAACTTTGTAGTAGGAAACTTTTTTGCAAGATTGGTGAGATACTGATTGATTAGAGTACAAAGTGGAATACTGAAAACAGATAAGTTTTCAAATAAGTTTTCAGGCTAGTAGGGTGTGAAGATCATGAAAAGTTACTGCTTCATTGTTGTACCCAGATTTGTAGAGATGTAAAATAACCCAGATGTCCTCCCCAGCATTGTTAACTTCTTGAACATAATCCTCCGCTGATATTTCTCGTACTTCTCCATATTTTGATTTATTAGCTAGCTCTTTCAACTCCGCTATTCTCTTTTGTCGATATGCTTCGAGTACCCTTTCATCTTCTTCATCCTCTAGTTCATCTAATTCATCTAAAGACTTGTCCTCCAAGTTGTCAGGGGCTGATCAAATGAACAATAAATTATTATGAACTACAAATCTGTCAAAAGAGATGTGCGGTTGAAGGTTAAAATATGCAATTACCACATCCTGTTTTTTTATCTATAGTATTCTCCAAGAGATTTACTATTTGATCCTCGGTAACTTCTTTCTCCTTCTCAGGTATAATACCTTTTCTTCTGAGGATATCGTTCCATTCAGTATCTTCATTTGGATCTTGCTAAAAGAAATCAATTTAAGAGTGTCCTGAATATATTATAAAATAATATATTCGAAAATTTAAATAAAATATGCATTTTAGAACCTACAGTCATGTTACCATATAAGGAGTCATGCGTAACTAACCTCTACTCATGCTCATATTGTAACAAGTTCAAAATTCTGTTACTGATACTTACCATTCTGGAATATTTGTATCAAGTGTTTGTATTTCAAGAGTTTTGTAGCTTGAAATTAACTCCAAGTACTTTGAATTTCTTATATTTATCAAATATTCGTAGTGACGATTGAGATATAACACGAGAGCTGAAGACAGCTGATTTACTTTCCACCACAAAGATACGTGATCTCATACACACACATAGCACCGTCGACACAGTTATTGTGACCATATAGTGATCTGCTCAGAAAAATATTTCAACAAATTCATTCAAAGTACATTCTTGATACAGTTTAAAAGATTTTATTATACCAAATATATAATCTAAATTATACAACATTCGATGTTCCTCATGTAAAATCGACAGCGATGCGCGTCCATGATTAATACTTATATTGGCACTTTTCTTGACAGTTGCATATCAGTCTTTGTGCATTGTTTGTATGTTCTGTACTGTGCGATTGGTTTTCTATTTAACCATAGAATCGCTTTCGTGAATAAACATATTTTTATCTCTCATAACATTGTAGATTATAATAAATAGATAAAAAATATATATATAGTATTGTACGTTCGCGATTTGATAGAAGATATACCCATACAAATAAACTGAAAACAAACGCAGCGTGCAAGTATATATTAATAATAATCACGCTTGCTTCAATGTAACATCAATTCCCAATCGAGTTAAAAGTTGACAAAGTACTGCTATCGTTACTATATTATATGTGTAATATATAATCTCACGATGTCAATCTGCTAAAATATTTCAACAAGAATATCTATCTATTTTCTTGACTCGCATTGTTTGATTGTTGATTCTTGGTCTCAACGGGTAGTGCGAGTGTAGCAATCGCGGCGCATAACGCCGTCGTCGCATAAATCGCCATTGCCCCCGTGATTGACCACTGCAGGAACACCTGCGCTATATACGGCGTGATCATCGCGCCGATTCGCGCCATGGCGCTACACGCGCTCACACCTATGCTACGTAAGTGCGTCGGGTATACTTCCGGCGTGTACACGTAAGCGGCTTGAAACACACCGGCGATCAAGCCTCTAGCTAGAAAAATGGCGATGGTCAAGGCGGCTCTGCTCAATAGGCAGGTCCTGCCTAAGAAACAGACCACCATGGCGAACATCACCAACTGGCAGGCCATAGTCTTTCGTCTGCCAATCTTCTCGATCGCGTAGACGGTGGAGAAAATGCCCGGAAATTCTGCCAACGTTGTCCAAAGCAGATCGATATAATCGCCGCGTCGTAATCGGCAGTCAAATTGGCACGCGTTCTCCTTCTTGGTCGTATCCCATGAGCCGCATTGTTCTGAGGATGTGTGAAAAAGTTCGGTAGTCATTAACACCACGCCATAGTAACAAAACGCTGTGCTCATCCTGAAAAAAAAAAAAAAACAGAAAAGTATGAAAGTATACAGTAGGTATATACCGAAGTAAATTTCATAGTAATTGCGTTTACCAAACAAGCCAGAGTAAGGCGGACGTTTTGCACATCTCCTTGCTTAAAACATCTCTAAACCGACCATGATGACCTTGATAAAAACGATCCATAACCAATCTTCCTAGAGGCAATGATTTTTTATTTTCTCTTGCTACGCGTTCCAACGTCGAGATCGCGCGATCTGTCCTTCCAGTTGTCATGTCGAACAAGGTAGACTCTGGGAGCCACTGTAAATATATATCCAACATTTAATATGTCATTTAACACGATTCATCGTTAAAGGGCTCATCAAGTCGTTAACAAATGACGAAACACATGAAGAAAGTAAATGAATATATTACAAACCGGTGTTATTACGGCGAATACGAACAGCGGAATGGATGACAGTATAAGAAGCCACCTCCAGCCGAAATTGGGCATGACGATTAATGCAATCGCGACCTCGAAACAAGCTCCGAGCGCCCAGAAACACTGTTGAAATATATATATATTTTTTTACTATAATGGCGTGTATACTTGGCGCGTGCATATAGTTTAACTTGAAATACTTATGAACCTACATCCAGTAAAATAACACATCTTGCTCTTTGCTTCGCTGGGAGGAACTCCGCATACAATGTTACTCTGTGGGGAAAAAGAAATGCGTCGATAGTAACCGATATACTGCAAAACAGCGCAGTAGCACGTTCTTAAGAAACTTACCAAATACTTACGATTGTGGTACACAACCAATAGCAAACCCTACAACTCCCCGAAGTAACAAGATCCAGAGAAAGTTCGGTGCGAACGAACTGAGAAAGGCGTAGTAAGATAGCAGCACCGCGCACAAAGTTAAAGCTTGCTTACGGCCGTATCTCTCGCTCAAATTATTCCAAAATGTAGAGCTTAACATCATACCAAGAAAAACCACCTGAAAGCATCATTTCCGCAATCGTAATCGTTTCAGCTGTTAGCTATGTCTCAGCTACTTATTTTCAATAATAATTATCTAAATTAAAAAATTACCGTTGTCGTCAATGCTTGTTGATATCTGGAAATGCCCCAGTCACAATGCAAGGATGGACTCAGAATGCTCAGTATGGTGATTTCCATGCTATCTACCATCCAACAGAGGCCCGTGAATAGAGAAAGTTTAACTTGGAATTTACCAAAGCCAAGTGTATTGATAGCTTGCACCACAGTGAATGTATCTGTTAATGAAGTTTCAATGTAACAATTATTTCATCATACATAAGTTAACTTCATAAATTATGATATAGGACAAAACAGCATAGATAAATGCACCAAATAAATCGCTAATAAATGTTCATATTTATTTGGCAATAAAATAAAAATATCAGACATGACTAAAAATCATATCGTATTGTTGTGTAAAAAATAAATATACAAACCTGTCTGCTCGTGTGCATGCATTTCTAACATATACTGTTATTAGAGACATTTTATGTAACGTCCTATGTGATGTTATCAGTCAGACTTAAGATAGTCATTAGTAAAATACCAACTCCCACGGTGTTATGTTACCATGCGACGTTAGATATTTACATAGAGTAAAGTTCTTCCCTTAGCATTAGAGTTAGGTGATCCCTTCTGTACAGTTGGGAAATAGCAAATGATTAGACAGTGTGATACATTGCAATTTCTACATATATAATTTGCATATATGGAATAAAGTGCTAATGTAACCTACCATCAGGTATAACCACGACAGAAGAAAGTTCCATGGAACGTTCAGTGCCATTTTCGAGACTCGTGTGACAACTTGACATGCTCTGAGCGCAAACGTTTAGTTCGGCGCCGTGCGATTCTTCCAATTCGCGATATGGTTCGTTGGATTTTCTATCCGGGTTCGACATGGTTACGCCTTAGACGTAAACGGCATAAGTATACGCTCCAAAATATTTATCTACTTTGCGCTCATCGATCCAGAAGGATAAGAAAGACAAGTCGCGATCTACTTTTCAATTCGGCATCAGGAATTTTCATTAATTTTATGTAAGCCGCCGAATTTCTCAGGTCATCGCACATTACTGTCAGTTCCTTTGTAGGTTAATACTTCAAAAGTGTGATAAATACCTCATACTTTAACACGACCATGATCATAATTTCATGATACTTTGCTTTTCAACATTAATGTCCGTGTTAATTTTATATTGCGACACAGTGCAAATAATTAATGACAAGAACAAACGGTAAATAAGCTACGCTGCGACCATAGACCATAGACCACCGTAATAGATGGAAAAATCCATTACATATGACACTACTTGAGAAACAGATCCGTCTGATTTCCCGCTGAGTTGTACTACCTCGATTTGTCGGCAAGAGTGCAGCGGAAACTTCGAAGGTAATAAGAATAGTTTTCGAATTCTCGCATTTGATGTAACAAAATAAATATACGTATAAAAAAATTCGGAAGGGGGAGATGTGTTTAAATTTATGCGCATTTTTATAAATTCAATTAATATTTATCAAAAATATACTCACAATGGAAGAACTTAATATCAAAAAGATGACTCTATGTGGATTCGAAAATCCTCCATGACAAACATTTGTGGAAAGGATTTAATAACATTTCAATGAAATATATTCATAAAATATATAATATATGCTCTTTTTATATAAATTAACGTATTGATCTCTACAAAGAGCACTGTCTGTTTCTACATAAAACAAATTAACTTTCTGTTCATTTAGTCCCATGTCAAGTTTAACATTGGGCAATACTGATCATATTGATTTATGCTCAACACAGTTGATAAGAAGAAACGAAAAAGAGAAAAAGGATATAAGGCCCAAAGACTTCTGACTCAGTCGCTATTATTTTCATCAGAATCCTCCACCACGATTGTATCGTGGCCAGGCAGCATTCGTGGGTCGAAGGTGGTTTGAAAGCATTTTTGAAATACCAGTTTGGCTCTCTTGGCTACCTTTTGACGCGGTGGTGAGCCTGGTATACTTTCGTCCAAGTCTGCGATAGCGTTTTCTTCTTTGCAAAAGTCCTCGTTATCGTTTGTAGACTTTCGCTTTGCGATGTTGGAGAATACCGAACTCACTAGTTTCCTGTGACTTTCCGGGATTCTCTTATGAGTCGTTAACGACGTCGTACTAGCAGGACTGATAGCAAATAAACGACTCTGTTCCGGCTCGGCTTCATTCCTCTCCAGTACGTTTTTTATGGGATTCTTCGTTTCCGCTATCGTAGGAATATTGTTTTCAATTGGATTAAGTGTATTATTTCCCTCATTTGTTTCATCTGTACTTCGCCTCTTAAATATATTATTGATTGTGAGGTTGGTAGAAACAGTAGACTTCTTTGCCCGACTCGTAGATCTGCTGCTTTTGGAAGACGATTTACATCTCGAAGTTGACTTCTTACGAACAGACTGTACATGGCTACTAACAGTCGAGGTGTCTGATCGTGCGTCGTTATCTGGGCTCAAAGTTGATAATAACAAATTCACTTCGAAACCTTGACTCTTCAAGGCAAACAGCACTGGTCTGAAAAATATCATGTGTATAATATTAAGAATTTACTAAAATATAGAATTAAATGTGTATAATTATTAATTATGAAATAGCTATTAATCTATGGTGTATTGTTAAACAATTATTTTGAAATATACCTTTTGAATATAATTAGAATGAAATTAGGAAATTAAAAAAAATATTACATACCTTCCTGCAGTTTCGAAATGTGTACTAACTGGAATACCTACGCTCTCACTAAAAGTGAGCAAAGCTCTAAATTCTTTTAGACAGAATGTAATAACCGTTTCATTGCTTATTACATAACGATCGAATTCTCCAACACTGAGAGCCAACTGCGTGCGTGTAGTATTTTGTAAAACTGAATAAAAAATATTAAATCAATAATAGAAAGTAATGTAATCTTGTTTACACGAGGTTTGTCAGAATTATTAATTTGATTTACCTGAAGCGTCATCCACATAATTTCTTAGCAACAACTTTTGTGGTGTTACCTCAAGTGTTATTTCAATCAAATTCTGCTGAAAATTCTGCAAGACATCTATCAATATTCGAGGGCGTGATGTCAGTTCGTTAGACATACCAGCCTTACTATATGATGCCTGTACAATTTATATTTTATTGAAAATATAATCATAAAAAATGACTTATTTTGCTTAAAAATACAATATTCAGACGCACTTTCCCTTTCCACTGTATAAAAAATTTAATTTAGCCAAAATTTTGAAATATTAATTCAGAAATATTAATGTAATTTATTTCAAGATATTTCATAAAATTGTTGACTATTCAATGATGTTAAAAGAATATTTTAAAATTTATGAAGCATATATCTACAGACTGAATGTAACAAGAATATTTTCAGTATACTTGCAACTTTTCATCTTCCAAGATAGGTGACAAGTGGGACTTGTTAATGCCATTTCTATACTTCAAGATAAATACTAGATTGCAAGCATTTCTTTCCAGATTAATATGGCAGGTCTCCACAAGCTTGTCTAATGCATGTGCGCCCTTAAAAATAGTCATGGCACTCTGTAAAATACAGTATATATTTCAGGTATCGAATAATATATTACCCTAGAATAGAAAAGATAAATGACCTCACTCTCATAGATATTTTACACTTCAATGTTTCTTCTTCTTCCAAATCTCCCAGAGCATAATAAGAGAAGAAATTTTTGTGAAATGTAAAGTTAGAATATGCTGATTTTGCCATGTTGACAGTACGGAAGGATAGGGATTCTTGCTGTGGATTCACATATAACTCATCCCCAATCTTGGCCAACATATATACAGCTTTTGCCAAAACTGTATCAAATAAAAGATATCTGTTAACAATTTTGAAAAGATTTGAAAAAAATATAATTAGGTTATAGGTGCGAAAATAAATATCTATAGGATAGCTCATGTGTAATATGTATATATCTTCATATGCTGTTGTAGCAACCTATATAATATTGTATAAATTGCTGTGGAACAGAAAGACAGCAAAAACATTTTCTGTTAAATTAATAGCAACATTATTCGCGCTGCAGTTTCACAACGCTGGGCGATATAACCTAAATAAGGAAAGTGACATACTCTTTACATTTCCTCCGGGTACAACGCATTTCATGTCGACGGATTTTTTATTCTCAACACAATCAGTATTCAAAAGAGCAAGTAATTTCCTTCGATTTAGCAATTCCTAGAAGACATTACACCACAGAGGTTCATACTTTTTCGCGCCACGACGGACAGGTTATGTTGCGTTTTTGCTGGTACTGCGATTAATCTGATGTCATAATTACTCGCTATCTCTCTCTCTTTAAGCTATCTTTTTCTGACGCGCTCACACATGTGACTTGCTCTGATGACGTATCGAGTGGCGTAAGTTTCGACCATAGACGTATATCTAGACTGCGCATTTTCCATACGCTGGCATCGTTTTCTCGTTGCTTCAGGTACCGACCGGCCTATATGCTCGATAGAAAGGATTCACACCTTGGCAAAAAGCAGAAAGTGCATGAATTACGTTTCCAGTCGCATCGTAGGTGCTTCAACTGTTCTTTTTCGAAGGACTTATGAACTGTTGCGATAAATTGAAATTAAACAGATACATTTCCTCTCATTCTAATTTGTTGCATCGACGTGTACTAATTCAAAAATACTTCGGAGAAAAACAGACCCCTGTGTGTAATATCAACGTATCCAATCGCACGGTGTCCAGTCCTAACGTATCCAATAGAACGTGTCCAATCGGACGGTGTCCAATAGTACCGTGGTCAAACGGGTGTCACCCCGTTACCTCACCTCAGTGCAGTCACTGCAGTGCTAGTGCTGCAGTCCCAACGCAGAGGAAAGGAACAAACCTCGTGTAATGCAGCTCAGCATCGCTCGCATAGACACGGCAGCCGTGGTTGCACGCGCGCGTACCTCGCGATCGCTGATGCGCGTTAGCGACGGACAGAGGTGTGTCGCGACACGCGTCAACGTGTAGCAGCGAACGAACGGCCGCGACTCCATCTCTCGCCGTTGCCTCTCCTTCCGGTGAAGTGCGAAAGAGAAGTAGGAGAGAGAGAGAGAGAAAGAGAGAGAGAGAGAGAGAGAGAGGAAGAGAGAGGGAGAAAGAACGAGGGACAACACCGAAGTGGTACAGCGCGAGAGACGTATCGCAGGCGCTTGTCAGCGAATGCTGTGACACACAAAACGCGGGCGTCGTCGGTCAACGGCGAGGAGCGCCGCCCCGTAATTACCGTGATTATTTAATCATGCCCAATTCGCGGGGTACCAGAAGCGATTGTGGCCAAGCGGCGGTAGTAGCAGCGACAGTAGCTTCATCATCATCAGCCTTAACAGTAACTACGGCGTGAGTCTTCCGTATCTTTCTCTTCCCGTCGTATTTTCTGTCTCTCTCTCTTTCTCTCTCTCTCTCTCTTTCCCTTTCCCTCTCTCTCTCTCTCTCTCTCTCTTTCTTTCTTTCTCGCTCTCTCTTTCTCGCTCTCCTTTCTTTCTCCGTCTTTACCTCGGCCGCTGTATTCCATCGTCACGCGTGTGTAACGGTATACGCGTGGATAACGAGCGAGAACGATCGAGAAACTGCGGCTGCATTTGACGAGTGTGCGTGCGTGCGTGCGTGCGTGCGTGCGGCGCGCGTGAGCGAGCGACGTCGCTCCGGTGACGGCTCGCACCGCTGGTGATATCGTGCATTCCGCCGCCCGGCTACGCCTGGCCGAGAAATGCGGTTCTGAATCGGCGACTCTCCTTCCGATCGACTCGCTCACTCTCTCGCGTGCACTCGGGGTGTTCGTTCGTGATACGTGCATACATATATGCGCTTTCGCAGACCGGGTGGGTGGCGACGGCGAGAGAAGGGAAGGGGGGTTGTACGCGCGAGTCGTCGCGCAGAGTGCGCGCTCGGTTACTCCTGGTTACTTTGGTGTTCCGTCGATTTGTAGTGTTTCGGGCGAGATCACCGTAGTGCGAACTGTGATACTCCGGTGCAAGGTGCGCGAGTGACGTCCGTGAGAGGAAGTAGCCTCGCGAGGAGAGCAGGGAAAAACGCAACGTAGGAGAACGGGACAGGAGACGGGAGAAGAAGGCAGGATAGGAGGAAGGAAGAACGGAAGGAAAAGGGGTGTACGAGGAAGAGGAAGAGGAGGAGGAGGGTAGGAGAGAAAGAGAGGAGAGCAGGGTAGCAAGATGGCGGGCTCCTTAACGTGGTCGTGTACTTGTTGCCTGCGTTTCAAGTTCAGCCCGGAGGAGATCGAGCAGCGTTACAAGAGTCAGGAGATTGACCGGATGCTGGAGAAGGACCGGCAAGCGTTTCGCCGGCAGGTCAAGCTGCTGCTGCTCGGGGCGGGCGAGAGCGGCAAGTCGACATTCCTCAAACAGATGCGGATCATTCACGGGATCAAGTTCGAGGTAAGACGAGGCTCAGCCGCACGTGTTGTCAATGACGGAAACGGTCATTCAGGATCTGCTCCGCGACCCGCGTTGTCCTTCCCGCTCCCGTTTCGGAGCCTGATCGGCAGGATCGCGCACACGCCTTCGGAAGCGCGTTGACACCTCGCACGACCTCCGAACGACGGTCTCGTCTCATGCAGAACATTCAGTCATTTGGCCTGCATATTCAGTCGGGCATTTCACAACTCGATCTTATTGTGATAATTTGACGATAATTGACGTTATGATCTAAAGAGGCTCGCGCGAGGATGAGTGTCTGAGAATAGGTAGTATGATAGATGCAAAGCTAGATGCGTAACGCGCGTATGTTTTGAACAGTGAGTAAAGTGGACACAATGATGATGACGGTTAGACTATGTGTTATGGAGAAATATTATAATTCGATTAAAATGCCAAGCCAGTATACATTGTAAAGTAAAACAAGATTCTTAAAATTAAACCAAGATATCTTAGGGTAGATATTCTCATTGAAATAGCTCCTACGTGTTGAATGTTTGATTACGAATATATAACATTTATTATTGTTGTTGTATTTTTAGTCAGAACTGTAATTTGTATGAACTATACAAGTTACAAATTATAAATATGTTACTTGAAACTTGACATGTTCATATATACTTATCTTAATAGAAGATCTTTAGGGACAATTTGACAATACGTATTTTTATATTCTTTTCCAGCCTGAATTAATTAAGGAGTACCAACATGTGATTTACCAAAACATAATTAAAGGAATGAAAGTTTTGGTAGATGCTCGGGATAAGCTAAATATTCCTTGGGAGAATCCTAAGAATTATGATATTGGTTTTCAATTACTCAAATTTGAGAACACAATGGTGTTGGATGCTAGATTATTTCTCCACTATGTACCAGCGCTGCAAAGTTTGTGGAAAGACGCATCAATTAGAAGGGCCTTTGATAGGCGAAGAGAATTCCAATTAGTAAGAGTTTTTCATATTAAAATTTTAGTCCTAAAACAATAATCTTTGTGAGATACAGAGACATCAAATACACAATGCACAATGCATTGTTTATTCTTACCTTCTTTTTAAACTTGTAGCGCATAATCTCATAATATGTATGTACTTTGGTATTTCCAGAGCGATTCTGTTCAGTACTTCTTGGATAATCTCGACAGGATTGCAAGAGTGGTAATACTTTTAACAATTTATAAGTAAATTTATGATTAAAATTATTAAGTCATATTATATTTTTATTTTATGGAAACAGAAGCTACTGTTGCTTAAGATGGGTGTGTTTAAAATGTATATTTAAGATGGGTGTGTGCATGCATGCGCACATGTATATACATCATTTACTTTGATTATCTATATTTATCACTGAGTATACAAGAGAAGACGTCTTTGCAGGAATATACGCCTACACATCAGGATATTTTACACTGTAGGAAGGCAACAAAGGGGATTTCTGAATTTGTAATACCAATTAACAATATCCCATTCCTCTTTGTCGACGTCGGCGGCCAAAGATCTCAGAGGCAAAAATGGTACCAATGTTTTGACTGTGTGACTTCAATACTTTTCCTCGTATCATCATCGGAATTTGACCAGGTTTTACTCGAAGATAGGTGTGTTATCTCTCTATATCTGTTAACATACACTATCGGTGTGTACAATGATCCGATAACCTAACGAGATAACGACTGTTCATCTACTCTCACAGGAGAACTAACCGATTGGAGGAATCCAGAAATATATTCGATACAATCGTGAACAACATGATATTCTGTGGTGTTTCCATTATCTTATTTCTGAACAAAACGGATTTGCTCGATAAGAAAGTGAAGTCACAGGATACGAATGTTCGTTGGTACTTTCCACAATTTACGGGTGATTCACATTCCATGAAGGACGTGCAAAATTTTATACTCGACATGTTCATCTCCGTCAAGAGAGATCCGAGGAAGCCGTTGTTCCATCACTTCACCACCGCGGTGGACACGGAGAACATTAAAGTTGTCTTCAACGCGGTAAAGGACACTATTCTGCATCGGAACTTAGAATCTCTTATGCTTCAATAATGCCGCAGAGACGGAGGAATTAAACACAGATAAAGCAGCTAGTAACACAAAGGTACGCGACGAAAATTAACATTTAGCATACCATTAATCCAACCCGTAGTTTTCGAGGAGCATTGCAATGCAGAGACTAGGTCGAAATAAAAAAAAAGAAACATTTTTTGATAAGACAATATATCTGTATGGATACGCGAATTGAATATTTACCTCCGTATTTAGATACGTTTGTAGTACAGAGAAAAGCCGAAGAGAAAACTGCCTGATGTAAAGATATATTGAGAATTTTGACTCTGTATACATTATACATATATATTAAGATATATTTCGATCGCTTTCGATGAACATTGAACGGTTATAAGGAGATTATTATACAAACTTGTACATAACTACTTTGTATTCTATATGTTGTCGATAATTTGTACGATAATGTGGATTGACATATTTGTATAAAAAAGAAGGATCAGTTGCAAATAATTCAATTTAGATTCTTACGTTTGTACAGATGTACGTGATCCCCAATGCTTTTTCCATGGTATAATACGTAAGGTGTTATTGCTGGTTGTTAAACCAGAATTCACAGGTCTATGGAATAACTTATTTCTTACTTACTTAAGATGAATTATACCCCTTAATTAACGCTGAATATATTAAGTAACATGAAAAAAAACCAAATATACTAGATTCATGCCATATGAACCAAATGAAACTAACCAGTTTGTGTTCAAATTGCTGTGGAGAAAAATAGAGAATTATTCGTCTATTTCTTCATCTTTTGAGGAGAGGATGCAATATCGCTCGATGTTAATGCTATTCAAATCTATGTATCTTGCATACTATATACATTGATTCACTCTCGAGATTCGCTTTCTAAGGTGCTGTTAACCTCGTAGACTGAAGATCATGATAATTGTATTAACTGAAATTGTTTCCTTTTTGTACGAAACAGATTGTCAATTGAAATTTCGTAAATATTACATAAAGTTTTTATATGCGTAACACGACAATACAATTTTCCTTGCGCTGAGTTGCGAGGTACAAGGTTTATTCTACATTAGAAAAGTGTAATAGCAGTTAGAAATTTTATTATTTAATTGCATCATATAATACATTTTATTTGTCTGTCTTGTAAATTTGATAACTGATCCTTGACGGGGGGAATATATATATTTATACTTTTGGAGGAAAATTTAATTTGCATAGGAATGATCAGTATTATTCTTTTTCCACATTGTGTGGATCAATGAAATATTTGCGTGAGTTGACTTTCAATAGTCCATGGAAAAGCCAGATTTTGCAACAGCAATTTGTATAGGCTACGTCTAATTTAGCATATTATAAATATGATATTGTGTTTATGTCTATTATATGCATGCATACTTGATTAAAAATTTTGTTATCTTGTGCAAGTGAATGTCAGTTGACAAATCTGGCGCAATTCGGACTAAACCGCTGTAATGTACCAAAAAATCTTAAAAAAATAGTAAGAAGTATACTTTGCGTGGAAGAGAAATTTTTGTCCAGTTGTTTCTAGCAATGAAAGTAACAATATTTTTTATTATATGTATACGCGCACACATAAGTTGTACCCAAAGATTTTATGTAATGATGTTGGTTAAGCCAAAGAGCCCTATGTAGAATCGAGGAGTTTCTACATACTTTATATCTTTTTTTTTCTCTTTTTTTCTTTTTTTATTAGTTTATCTAACGATGTGCAGTGTACCGATCTACGTGTTGTATTAGATATTCTTGAAAATATAATTGCGGTCACGATACGGTCACGAGTTAACGCGAGGTGTGTGTTTTGATTTTGTAGTTAGATATCATCTATTACATAAAATCTTTGCTATCTTTTAATCTGCGAAAATTCAGGAAAGAGATATAAGTTCACTAACTACAGTAGTAAATTTATGATATGCACTTACATTAATATATGAAAATCATACTAATTATGATTCTAAGTTTATATATATAGCTTATATATATATAGCTTATATACATATAGTTTATATATAAGTTTATATATATAAGTTTATATATAAAGCCTAAATCTCTCTGGACGATTAAAAATGATATTTAAGCTTTTTTACATATACTGCTCCGTACGGCATATAAGATACATTTTTGATAATTGGTATATTCTATAAGAGCGAATTTGTTTACATTCCTGTAAAGATAATCAGGTCCAATTTAATTGATACTTTTTATAGTATTTCCAAATTTTATAACATTTTTATATCAATTGTTGTCTCGTACATGCCTTGTTTTGAGATGAAATGCACATTTTTATACTGGTTATACATTGTCTACATATACAGGATTAATATACTAATGCTCATTATATGGAGAGAGAAAGAACGTCTATGATTTTTATGAAAAGATTTATAGAAGATATACTATATTGACGCTCGTCGTGATAACAAATTAACAAGTATAATTCTAGTAATAACACTCTGTACACACGGCAATGCTGGCTTAATAGAAAATCCCTCTCGACACTCAAAATCCTCAAGCTATAACACATGGTTCTATAGCGATTATAAGAAAGATGAGCATTATCGGCATTGTATTAATGCATGTTAGCTCATATTTTATCTGCGATTATTTTATTGGCTACATTTTCAATGTACTGTTGCGACGAATGTATCATATATGTATTTTCTATTAAGCTGCTGTAAATGAAAAGAAACACACGCATGTAATAGTATATATTCAGACCATATACTTGAAATTTTACTGTAATATAGACTGTGAGAGTACGTAGTAACTATGTGATAATACGTTTTGGACAGCTGATGAATGATGATTTTTATATTTTCCAATCTCCGATGATTTTTTGATACGTCCAATTTAATATGTTCCAACTCGTAAGAAGGTTGTATAAAAAGCATTTAAACCAAATGTCGAAAATGGCATCATATATTTTTTATTCACTTCTACATTCGCAAACTGAAAATAAGAGAATGTGAATATTTATTTATTCTTTCTCATGCGATAAATGAATAAACTGGGGAGGATAATAAAATGAGAGGAATGGTGGATTGTACATGTTTGTATATATATAATTCAAATAATTAATTTCAAGTATTTTCATTCTTTCTTAAGCGTCACCACGATTTCTGTATATACATACTCTCTGGTATATTTTTTGTTTAAAGTTTACTATTTGAAGAAAATAGACAAACTCATTCATGGGACATTTGTGTTTTCTTACTTTTTAACATTAATATATTGATAAACTTGCGATAATAATAAAATATAAATGCTTAGGACATTGCTCGCAAAATTATCATGTATTGTCTGTAATGCAGTATGTAAATTATTTTTTCCTTTACTTATAATATATAGGATGTCCTAAAACCAATTAATTTATGAATTTCCTGTGAAATCGTTTGTTATTCACTGGCGAACACTCCGAAGAGAATCTTACAAAATTTAGAATTTTAATATTGAATATTTTTATTTAATATTTCTTAACGTCTCTGTGTCGTATAAATAAACCTTTCAAATAAAATTCCCATTGAAATACATTTTTGAGATTATATCACAATTAAGCCTCCGTTATTTATTTCTACTTTTGCAACTAAATCACCAAGAATTTGTAGATATTTGCAATGTTCAACAATTATAAGTGCCTCGACATGTCCGGTTAAAAAATAATTTTACTCTAAATTGCTCAATGGAACATCCTGTATATATAAGATGTGTAGCAGAACAATTATCTTTTAACTCACATACGTACCTTGTGTTTTGCAGCAATGTGATATAACTCCTTAGCTATAATGGTCTACGTGCACTATATTCTAGAAAATACGGAAAGATAACGAAACATCGTAATTTATTAAGTTCAGAAGCGCAAAAACTCATTCGACTCTTTTGACGGCAGCATTATTGCGTTATAAGACGATTGTTTACAACGGTTTCTTGTATAACATCGTCTTTACTTGGTATACCTTATGCATTTCAGAACGTTACTTTGTCGTATCTTACAATTTCATTGTATATGATATAAAGAATGTAGATATATTGTGCCTTTTTGTATATTGTACATTTGTACATAAAAATATTTTATACGAATTATTATCACGATGTAGTTTATTGTACGAACAATAAATAAACAACTTAAAAAGTATAAATGACTCGAGATTGTCGTAATTATATCACTGTGATGACGCATCTTCGTCATAAGTAATCCTTTCACACACACATGGATTGTATATATCGCTAATTATTAAAAAAATATATAAGTTTGTTCACTTTATATATTAATGTTTCGTGTAATAAACGGAACAACACATCTGCGTAGTGAGAGATGTATCATTATATTTATTCCTTTCATATATCCGGTTTTATACAAAGTAAAGCATATTGCTAACTTTCATAACTTATATAACTTATATAACGAAATGCACATTATTTACATTTTTTGCAAAAAAAAATACATAAGACACGTTTGATGCTTCAATTCTAAAGATTTGTGAGACAATAATTCTCATTTGTCACGAATTGCTAATGGACGATATTGCTAAGTAATACTTACAACACAAAAAATATTTTATCTAAACATCACATTGGCAAGTCACCTATAATCGATAGTAATTACAATTTTATAATTACTTAAATGTACTATATATTACAGCGATATTTACATATTTTTTCTCTTCCCTCTAGTAGTATTTAATATCAAAAACGTATAAAAGTAAAAATATAATTCCATTCTTCGAAAAGCTTGAGATATGTCGTCAATCGGAGAAAGGCTTGTAGAACTGCAGTCTTTTGCTGTAAGTTTGCGTAATAAGAATTTCCTTTTTCTTTCTTCGGTATAATCGTACAATGACTGGCGTTTGAACTTTTTGATTCGTGAATAATTGTATGTCTTCTTGTAAGTTTTATAGCTTAGTACATGTCGATTATTACGATATAGTATAAAATACTATTGTTACTTGTTAGTGCGTTATAAGTATTCTCGACAGAGTGTGAGGTGTTTGAGGAATGTAGCAAGTATTTCGCAAAAATGCCATTTCCGAAAAAACATCCAAACGATTTGAGGCAACTGTAAATCTCACTTTCGTTCGCGCTGCGTAACGACTTACACGCTTCATAACGGATTTTCAACTGTAACGTTGAATCGCGGAAAGTTACACATGGAATATTATACGTAGTCAATTATCACTTCTGTAATATATACGTATGACCTTAATTATTTCCGTTGCAAGAAAATACATTGTTACAACCTACTCGTGATACGAAAATGTGGACACTTATTTTCGGGTTTTGTGGAAAGCTGTCGTTCTCCCATTTTTTCAACCTGGATACAACCTGTAATGTAATTCCCATGTAACGAATTACCCGGCTTGCGTTACACGTCGTTGGAATGTCACAGATACTCGTAAATTTCTTAAAACCTGCGACTGCTCCCTAGAACGATTCCAAACACGAACTTACGCTAAAGATTATACGTTTCGTTCACTTCGTACAGTGATTGCTTGGAATAAAAGATATAAACAATCCATTGAATCAACGTATTCATTTGATATGAAAAATGATAAATATCTTCAATATACGTATAACAATCAACAACAACCAAGTTTAAATAATTTCACGTTTACATATCTTATTTGTCGAACAAAGAATGAGAACAGGAAGAAACAGTAAATTGTTGAAATTTGTAAATACGCAGTAACTTTTTACGCAAACACGACGAACGATGCCAAAAGGAATTGCTCTAGAAATGCTGCAGAGATATGCATTAACAATACACTATTATGCTAGATTGAAAGGGGAATTATACGATTTTAACTATAAGATTCTCGTTATAACACTATGCGTACAAAGATCATTAGTACTTTGTATAAATACAGAGCGTAATTCTACGTGCCGTTGCCGCTCCGTATATTATTAATGCGTTCGAGAAATTTACGTATCCTAAAGCTTGCGTAAATCCAAAGTTCATAACGATTGAACTTTCAGCACCACTAAATGACTCGTGCACGAAAAGTCCAGTCTAATTGGACGTACCGGATGATATATTGTCGTTCGGTTTTTCGTGAATTTGTATTTTCGTGACAAAGCGTTACCGGTCGTAAAAGAAGCTTCCAAAAGTTAGGCGGTATATAAGTAGCGTATCTAACTGTGCTGTGTCTGTCTGTCTCTCTCTCCCTCTCTCTCTCTCTCCCTCTCCCTCTCTCCCTCTCCCTCTCCCTCTTACAAGTTAGTATCAAGTTAATTGATGATTGGTGTTCTCTCGTTGATTCCGTTGGCGTCCGCGTCAAGCTGAGTTACAATGAAACGTCGATCGTTGCGGTCCATCGTTGCAAGGCATTTCTTCTTTAGAATTGAAGCACTTTATAGACGTGTGGAAATGCAAATTATAGCTCGAGCTCTTCGGCAGTGCGTGAGAGTCTATGATTATCGATGCGCCGTCGTTGGCTACGTCTCACCGCGTCCGCCCTGCGATACGGTTCAGATCTAAGACCGAGAAGGATATCCTCCAGGGCACCATTATACACCTCGTCCTGCTGCAATAGCTTCTTCTCTTGCACTAATCGTGTCTTGTTCTTCAGTTCATTTATAACAGCATCCTAGTGATACGAAAAAGTGAAGAAAAGTGTTATAGAATATACTTGAAGCCACAATATGTGTGCCACAATGTGTGAGATAAAATACTATTTTATATATATATATATATATACATTTTGAATTTTCAATATAAAAATTACGCACTATACTAGACAAGAGTCGCGTTTGAACTGTAGTCTCCTAGCGTTACGATAAATCTGTCGAATCAACCTTGAATTATATTTATGTAAATTACGTTGATCACATGATATGAAGTCTTATGGCGATAGAGCAAAGGAAAGTGATGATAGAAGAATTCTCTCAAGCAACATCAATGCGAATTAGAACATGCTAATGCATATTTCGAAGCATTAGTAATGTGAAAAATATGCTGATATATGTATATGCCAATACAGCCTTCTTTTATCAATAATATTAAATGGTGGGTATGCTATTAGAAGTATTACTCGCAATCAACTTTTATATATTTATACGAACTGTACATAGCAGCTTATTTAAAGAATTTCAATGTTTAAAAAATATATACAAGTGCAATCAATGTATGAATTTAATATAATTTAAATGATGTGATATATGATTTTTGACAAGATTCTAATAAAATTGTCTATCTCTTAGTCTCAGTGTACATGATGTAAATCAAATATATTTATGACAAATATATATATAAGAGATACAAGAATATAAAAGATTGTCGCAACTGTACATAAAATAATAAAAAAAAAAAAAAATTTTTTTTATGATAATAATTCAATCTGTATGCTGTGTCTAGTGCAGTGTATGTGTGAATATTAGAAATCATAATATGTCAATAGGAGGACGTGAGTAAGGACAGACTTACATGTTGTCAATTGTCTCTACATTGTTACGTTCTGAGCTCCAGTTCATTAAGATGGCGGTGTAACAGACTCTTGTTCGTGTTACAGCAAAATTTCGGTGACTTTAAATCCAAATAAATATGTAACAAATAAGAAAACAGATGTTCATGAGATGTATGGTGCTCTCTAGAAATGGAGTCGCTAAAAAGACACTCGTGAGAGAACCAGAATTGTTGACAATTTCTTTAACGTGTCATGCCACTTCACAACATGCAGAAAAAGAGAAATGCTTTCTATATTTATACATGTAAATATTTATAACTCGTATATCCTTATATAAATATTATGTAAGATATCGCACATCTAACGTGTTAAAATATTATCTGTTTTAAAACAGTTTATAAATTGATATATATAAGAATATCAATAATAAGGAACTGTACCCGATACAATTAGTGACACGACTAAAATTTGGAAGTGACATAAGTAATTCTGTGCCATTTAATTCGTTATTATTTTCGATAGAAGTTTTTGAATGTGTATATCAGAGTATAGTCATGTTATTAAAATGATATGTAGTTTCGACATAACGAAAACCAACAACATATTCATGCAACAAACACATAAAATCAATCGAGAAGAGAGTAAGCATAGCTTAGAAAGCAAAATTCTTCTCTGACGTAACGAAACACCGAAATTCATACCATAAAATAAAACAACAATATATTTGTGTAAATTCATTGAGTTGAACATCCCAAATGTCTCTTTCAGATGAAAATATCGATTGATGAAGATATACCGTTCGTCTGTTTCCTTATAAGTTTTGATTGTAAAGTTATTTTCGCAATGTGTAAAGGATATTAATTTCACAAAGCCCGCAGCATTGATGTTGTAGGAGAGAGGCTCAAAGAAATATGAGCAAATGATGATGATGATGCAATGTACATGTGAGATTTAATAGAATGCGATCAATCTAATTATTACAGTTACAGTGATAAAGTAGTATTAGTAAAGAGATCAAGTTTAGCGAAAGGATAGCATTATCAATTTCAAATTTTCTTCGTCGAAATCTCAATGAGTTTAACGTGCGCGAAATAATATTACGGTTTGCGATACAAAATCGTATAACTTCAATAAAACAAACGAAGAATTGCCAACATGTGCTTGACGATTTGCAAAATATCCTTTACGCCAAAAATTAAAGGTAATGAGCAAGTAATATATGTATATATCTGCAGTTATATAATAAACGCGTTGAAAAGTCGCACAGAGAAATGTGCACGTATTAAAATGAAACATCTCCAAATTGGTATCTTAAGCACAGCATGCTAGATATGAAACACTGTAAGAAAAACCACGAGAGCTCGCTTCAATCTCACTCGTTAAATCCCGATGTGAATTCACGTGTGTAAGAGAACGCGAAGGACAATGCGACATACCTGTTGCTTCTTCTGATTTAATTTATTACGTTTTATTACTTCTTCCGACGCATTCAAAGCTTCCGCAGCAGCAGCTTCCAATCTACGACGCTGTTCATTTTCTTGATCCGCAGCCTGCAAAAATGTGCAAATACATAAGGCTTGTTCTTGTTTAGTCGAGCTAGATCGCGTTTTTTTTCATAATTCTTTCATAAAAGATATAAAAGGATAAGTATAAACGAATATTGAAGAGAGAAAGTATAATGTTCCAACGCAGAGCCGTTTTAAAAAAAATAGACCTATTATTTCAATTGATTTATATCATAGCGTGATTTTAAAAACGCCATTTTGTTATGAAATGAATGTAAAAGTGAATATATGTCATAGTAAACCCACCTTAAATGCTCTCGCGAATCTAACAAGAAGGGAGAAGAAGGTGTTAGCGTCAGCCTGCCTTGGACTTTCCCCAAAGAATTCGACGCACTCCCGGAATGCCTCGCCCGCGGTGCGTGCGTCGAGCTTCAAACGCCGCAACTTCTCCTCGGAGTTGTTCAGGAAGTCGCGTAGTACCGTATTGTGCTTCTCTTTGCCACGTAGCTCGAATTCTTTCCGCACGAGGTCCATGCCTTTTTCCAGCTCGTGCACATCGGTCGTTATATTCTCCAGCGAAACTGCAATTAACGTAACAATACATTAATAGCAACAGCACAAAGATATAGATTGAATACTTGCAGTAATGAATAAGATTAATCAGTACAAGAGGCATGTATAAACAAACGTTATCATATATGTATTTAATATAATATTATATAAGACACACAGATCTTATATATCACAAGATTGCACGATAATTACTTGATAAATGTGCGACAATTAATAATAATAAAATAATAATAATAATAATAATATACCTGTTGCCGCTTTGTCGATGTACATCAGCTCCGATTCAAAATTAATAAGTTCCGGGAATTTAACTCGTATGGTGGCGACGATATAATGCAAAAGGCACATCCTTTTATCTGTCGATTTCGTATCCAATAACGTATCTAAGCTTTGTAACTTGAAGCCGTACGCGGGGCCCCGTTTGCTACTGTTCAGATAGTTTCCGAAGGCAAGAATGATCTCTAATACTGCTCTTAACTTCTTTGAACTCTTAACCGAACTGGACGCAGATATCACAGCATGTATTTGTGGCGTAATAAGGTGTAAATTGTCGAAAAAGTTTCCGATGTAGTTCATAATTGACAATTTGGTAGATATCCTCTCTACCTTACCGAGTTGCATCAAAAACTTATCTTCCTCTGTCAACAGGTTGACGTTCTTCTTCTCTATGATATACTCGCGGTAAGCCTTTATCTGAAAAAGAAATACACCGTTCATTAGTATTCGGCTAAAAGGCGATTAAAAAGGAAAGAATAATAGAGTTTAGATTCGAGCGTGAGATAGACGAGCGTACCTCTTGGTCCGTAGGTACCATACGTTGCAACAATTCGACATTTTCGAGCGAGAGGACTTTCAAGTCAAGAGCGTTCACTGCCATTATCACTTTCTCGACTGGCATTTCCATCTTTCGGCGCGATATAGCTGAGAAGGATATAAAGATTACGGTTATCTTGCCATGTTTCACACGTCAACGTGAACTGGTATCTGATAGAGACTAAGGTTTTACCGATATTTCGCAGTCTCGTGTGCTCCAAAAGCGATACGTTCTCCGGTTTCTTGAATCGTTTGCTGGGAAAGCTTTGGAGTCCGTCGATCTCGTTGTTACCGTTCGCCACATGGCCGCTCATGCCGATCTTAAATCGCTCTTCGAAGTCCGAGAAGTCAATGTAGTTGTGGAGACGATCGTCGTCCAGTTCATTGAAGATAGTACCTCGCACTTGGTTAGGTTTCAGAGCGATCCAATTAAGCGTAGGAAGTTTGTACTTTGTTTGGACCTTTTGAAATAGACAAATGCCAACAAGTTAGAAATCAACGATTTCACTAAAGCGGCGTTTTATCGAAACCTTCGACTTCGATGTGAACAAAATGACGCAACACTCTTAAAGACCTCGTTATCTTGTTCTTGTTTTAATAATTCGCTATTTGTTAATCATTATCGCATTTCCTGGAAAGTCTCAACTGCCACACTCGACCCAAACCTTACGTCCATCATCGGTATTTCTTGTTTCGTTTACACTCCGGCGATGAAGGGAGTTAAAATTAAAGAAATACGTACTTTTCGTTTAATAGTCATCGCTCCGTCGGGCGCTTGCATCATGCCAGCGGGTGGCGGAGGTATCGGCGCAGGTGGCGGTAACTTATGATCTCCGGGAGAGAGAGGAGCCATAGGAGGCGGCGGTGGACACGGCGGTGGTGGTGGTGGCGGCGGCGCCGGAGCCGGCGGCGGGGGCGCTTGGTCTGACGTCGGAGATGGCGTCGACGTGAACGGCGAGGATGTCACGTTGTCCGAATTGCTCAGGGGGCTCGTCGCGGTTCCGTTTCGTAGACTAGCAACTGGAATATCAACAGCAACAGAAACAATTGTCCGTGAGATCTCAGCTTGTCGTTGATCAACCTCCACGTTGAAAACCGTGACGATACCGACGGAGTATCGTAATTACAAGAACACCTTGGTTTTAAGAAAAATTACGCATCATACCGTTTCTCTCGCGAGGGTTCTTATCCATCGATCACGAAACCGAAACTTTTTTCTAAATTAGGTGTTTCTAACAAACACAGAGATTACATGAAATCATACTTCTCAATATTAGAAGCGCACAAAAATTCTAAAGATTTTCGATTTTGGAACATTAAACGGAAAGTATCCGGTCACGATACTTGCTCATCGGTGGTGCACCGTCGACTAGTCGCCGGTAAACTAGTTTACCTGACGAGCCTTTCGTGAGCGTGCCCGTGAGAGTCTCCAATTCGATAATCTTGTTCTCCAAGACGCTCTGCCTCCGGGCGGAATCCTGCCTCTGCCTCTTGAGAGCCGTGAGTTCTTCCTCCACTAGCCTACGCGTTTCCAAGGCGTCGGCGTATTCTACTTTCAGCGCGCCCAATTCGGTCTCCAACTCCGCCAACTTCGCCAGCGACTCCCTTTCTATCTCTGCCATCCGGTCGTGCGCCTGCATCAAAGCATAATGTAACGTAACTATACTCGTCTACTTGATATACGAGAGTTTTTTTCGGCCGAAAATGGAGCGAGCTTGCATAATCTGACGACGATGTATTTCTCCAGAATGCAGAGTGGATCTCAGTCTACTTTTATCTCCAACATTTTTTTCACGCGACAGCGCGAAAGGAGAGACAAGCGGGAAGAGATGTATCATGGCGTCGCTTACATGGCCGAGCTCGTCCTCTAATTCCGCTACTTTTTCTAACGCTGCAGTCTTAGTTTCGCTGTCCTCCATCAGGGCAGCTACGTCAAATACGTTATCTAGATAAGCCGAGATCTGGACCTGCAAAGAGGACAAAATTCATGAGAATCATGAAATATTATACGCGTCATATTTTTAACGGTTTTTTTCTCATGAAAATAGAGTTTCACAAAGTCCGGCGAAATTTATTACACGATACGGCTCTATCCTATCTCTCGTCTCTTAGCTACGCCTTCCTGGATTGGAAGAAGGAAGGATAAAAAAACGTAACGATAACTTATCGCACGGACTTGGTTATTTCTCTATGTATCTCGCGATACATTTTGTATACGTCACTAACTCTTCGGAGAAATTTCGATACAAAAGCTAAATAAAACATCTCGTTCAGAACAAGCCGAGAGAAAGCTTTTCCTTCTGGAATATCCGGCTTTTGGGAAGACTCAGATTCTCACAATCGACCGACCTGTAAATCCTCGCTTTCCGTATGCCTGAGCTTCTCGAGATACTCGTCCAATCCGAGCTTCGTGAACTCGTATTGCAGGTGCACCCTGAAGTTCATGTCCTCGACCGAATGCACGACGATATTGACGAATTGCATACAAGCGACCATAAATTCTATATGGAAGCTGTCGTACTGCGTGAAATACGCCATGAGCGTGGTGAATCTTCTCCTCTCGCAACAGACTTCCTTAAAGTTATCGAACGCCGACAGGATGATCTCGTGGCCACCCTTCACCAGGCAGATTGCGGCGAGCAGCTCCAGCACGAGGGCTTTCGTCCTGAAGAGGGTAAAAGAAACAGCATGTTCATTGTATTACTGTGGCGGTGCAGGCTGTAACAGTCGTGAAACTGGCGAGAGATATCAACGGTAGCTGTCTACACCCGTCGACTCTGTCCGTCAACGAGATCGTCACGGTAGGCGGCGGTTCACGTGAAATAACGCGACGCGTAAAACTGCTCGTGAGCAATAAGTTGTCAAGGGAGTTACAATTGAGTGAGAGCTTGCGTCAATTTGAATGTAAGGTTGACGGCTAAAAATCCGCGCGGCAGCGCGTCGGAAACGCTATTTCACGCTATCGGCTCGGCGAGACACACGCGGACAATAATAGACAATAGACAATACATGACTCACCTCAGACTCTTATGGATTAAGCTCAGTGCGATGCAGTTGATAGCTTCTCTGTGTTGGATAACCATGTTAAATCCGTACTGCGAAAGAGAGATCGACGTAACAATGAGTCTCGATGTTTGCGTGTGTGCGTGTCCCGGGCAAAATCGAGCGTAACGTTTCATGTTAGTCTTTCTTTTTCAACGAAAGCTGCACAGATCTTCGTGGAGAAAAAAGACGCTGCGTTCGGGAAGCGTGGAAACGCACTTTCGAAATTCAGGACAGGTTCAAAGTGTGCCGCTGATATTCTAGACACGAAGCCGGGAGGTGGGGTGAGGGGGGAGAATGTTCGGTTTTACACGCTTAATTTTCAAATCGAGTCATTTTTGAACATATCCTTCGCGTGCAACAACGCGACACAGCGTCTTTATCAACGACTTCCTGACTTCGGATTTCTTTATCGCACCTTCTCGCGCTTTTCAGACGCAGGATTAAGCCCGGGGAAAAAACCGATCTCGCATCAGGCTCGAAGCTCACTTTATTATTCATGATAGCACGCATGCAGAGTATGCAAACATGAATGTCGTCCTTCGCTTCACCCATATTCAGACGCGCCACATGTCTGGATCTCCTCTTGACACCGGGGCTGTCTTTCAGCTCGTGAAGAGGTGGCCTCAGGCATCCGTTGTTCAACGGCGAGGTGTCACCACCGGTGCTGGCTGTGTCAATACATTACGATTAATTGCCGCTTTATCTGTCACCTCGGTGTGATAAGGTGAAATATTCCAAGTCTAATCGCGCATCACCTCGCAGGATACGCGACACGTTCTAATTCGCGCGTCTCTCCCGAGATAAATCGCGATTAATTATTTACAAGTTTGTTACTCGAGAAGGAAGGAGGAATCACTCGACTCAGACGATCTCAGAAAGAATAAAACGGGAAGGATAATTAATATTATTTTCAGACTGTTTGCACGGCGTGATCGAGGAGATTCCGCGATTATGGACGGACGCGAAATTTGATTTCCCGTCTATAATGAACCCGTCCTCGCTCCACAATTAACCGCGGCTGAAAGTATCGTGTGCGTGCTGTCGTCTCTAACAGGTTAGCGCACATCTAATTTATTATAATTATCTAATGACCCGATAGGAGAGAGGGCCCGTTTTTACTTTACTTTTTGGTCCTCTCTAATCGGCTTCTTACCGGTTTGTAATTTTTCCTCAGAACTCGTATGAGATTCCAAGAGCCGTTGCTCATGCCGCATCATCAATAGCCTGAAGCTGAGATAGTCTATCAAAGCATCCAGGCCTTGATTTTCTTCGTCCAAGAACTCTCTCACCCATCTACAACACTGTTCAGCTCAGAATACAGGCCTTCGAAAGGTTCCGATTTCGCGAATAAGCAAGTCTCGAGGCGCATGAATTATTCGTATGTCACTTTAATCGGTGCGATTATTTCCGCATGATTAACGCGACCGACGCGATTGTGAAATTCGCAGAGAACAAAATTGAAAGAGGCGCGTTGTCCTCGATATTTTTCCCTCGAGGTCATTAAAAGCGTCAGAAGATAAAAATGTTTTTGAAATCCCCGTTAGAATTTACGTCATCGTATTATTCGAGAGTGATTTTTGAGTACAACAAAATATTTCAAACGACGCGGCGGCCATTGAGATTGCGGTTGTCGCGTAACGTTCCAGTTTATATAAAATAGCGATAATAATTATTGAATTATCTTACTCAATGTGATTTGTGCGCAAGGATATTTCTAAGTCTCGTAGTACTTGGGTAGACGTGGATTCCCCGACCATTTTCCTTTTCTGAAAGAATGTAAGGAAACGATACGACTGTGTAATCATTAGTATCCGTCTGATGGGACTTCTTGCAGGAGGACTACGTAACACGGTATGGTATCACAGTTAATGTTACGAGACAGACCGGAAGACAGAAGGAAAATTCGCGCGGTGCGTCACGCGAATGCGTGAAATCGAATTAGAGCGGCACGCAGCAAGTCGGTGTAATAATCGCCGCTGTGTGTTTAAAATCGCTAAAAATTTAGCCGATTTAGTCGATTAATTTCGACGCGCAGCGCGTTAAATGTATCGGGTTGGCAACTAAGTGATTGCGGATTTTAAATAAGAATGAAAATTCAAAATTTTAAATTTGCTTTTTCAAATTTTTTTCAATGCATGTATGCGATACATTGAGCTTCTCTGCAATATCACGTGTTGTACTATGACGATCTGAATCGATAATGACCTTGATATGGGTCTCACCGACTTCAACTGGACGGCCAGATCGTTGAGCATTTTTCAATGAAAAATCATCAGAACGAAATCTGGCAAACCAATTTTGACACTGTCTTTCTTTCAAGGCTTCATTCCCATATACGGCACATAACTTCTTGTGTGCTTGCGATGCGTTCTTGCCTTTTCGGAAATAATATAATAAAATATGTCTGAAGTGCACGTCTTGCTCTTCCATTTTTAAATTGGGATAAAAACAAAACTAAAGAACTAATCGATATAATTTTTGTACTAAATGAAAGGTAGAAGTCCAAACAATAAGAAAAAAATATAGGTTAGGTACTTTGAACACGTTAACGAAACAAAAGAAAGTGTAAAATCCATCTGTCGACAAAATCCGCAATCACTTAGTTGCCAACCCAATACAAATAATTATGCGGACGACTTTAACGTATTCAAGAGGAATAAATTTTCTCGCGACGAATGAATCGCGACGCGCGAGTCGAATACGCGCGATGGAAATGACTTTGCCGCGACATTCGCAACGACAAAACGATATTGAGAGAATAACACAGAGCAACGTACTCGATGGCTTCGTGATGCTTTGGGATCCAGATAGGTGCGCAATTTCGCCAAGTAATGGGCCGGTGGATCCTTGGCCTGCACTCGTTCCTGTAAACATAAAGACATTGTTGTGGTGAAGTTTTGCTCGTTAACGCGGAACTCGATCTCGTTCGCTCCGAACGAACGAACAATCAACATACATCTCTTTGAAACGTCTTTCTTTCCACAACGTCATTGTCCCCGATGAGCTCTCTCTAGCAAACCGCTGTCGCTTCGTCTCTCACGTTTTCGCCTCAATTAACGAATGATTCGCGCGACTAATCGAAAGCCGAGAGAAACCACGCGACTATCCCGGGAATGACACTCACTTCGCGCGGCTCTCAACCTGTGGAGGACTACACGTCCACGAAGGGATTGGCTTCATTCCACATTAATTACTAGATATGACTCGTCGCAGTCGCGGCTGGGACTTTTTGAAAGGTTGTCCTGCTTGTCGTGGAAACCCGCGGCGGCGACGGTGGCGGCGGCGGCGGCGACGGCGGTGGCGCGGCCTTTGCTCGCTCCGTTCGTAGAAGGGGACGAACACGCCGCGGATACATGCGCCACAACGAAGAGGGATGCTGCGCATTTTTTGCGGGACCTTTGTCTTGTATCGTATAATAGCGCGGCTTGCATTACATCCGTCTCGTGTTACACATATGCCCTACAGGCCGGTTCAAATATCGAGACGGACCGTCGATGACCTGCGGCTCTCTGAGCATTCGCTCGTCTCATTGTAGAAAAACGGAAAATCTGCGAGCGTGGAAGGTCACAGATTTCCCGTTGCCAAGTGTCTCGTTGAGCCAAGGAGAAATGAAAAGTTCTGCATCCTAGGTAAATTTCTTCAAAGTAACCGTCAAGTACAGAAAAATATAAAACGACATTCATATGATGTTCACATGCACGAAGAGAAAATAAAAGAAGAAAAGAAAAAGACATAAAATAATACGCATTGAGTTCTGCAACAATGGAAATTTATGACGGGGAATGAGCTAAGGATGACGATAAAATTTCGGAGCTTCTCACTTAAACACGGCTGAAGCGGTGTTTAAGTGTGACCAACGAAAATCGCGACGTCGAAAAAGCGACACCGATGCGATGAAAAGATAATTAATATGTAACAGTAAATAATAAATTAAAAGACATTTCACGGATTATATATGCGCAAAGAATGATGTTTCATCGCGCCGGAGAGCCTCGCATATCGCGCTGTATCATCGAGCACCTGCGAATTTTTAATTGAATATTGTTCCCGCCTACCGGAGAATACGCGCCCCGACCTCATTAGTCTCGCTTATAATTGTGATCGCGCTAATTATTCCGTAGTGCCGGAGAAATTTAAGGTCGCGGTTCGTGAATTAAGCGGTTGAAAAAAAAAAGAAAAAAAAAAAACATTTGAATTGCAAATTCACATCCTGCATGCCTGCGATGCAATCTCGCCGTATCAGACTATTAAATCCGCTCGTCGGATTCAGCTCAACTCAACCTCGCTCACTGCTCTCGAAAGCACCAAAAGCTCCTCAATTGTGCCGTGTGCACTTTTCTATTTGACCATTTATTAGTTTCGCTATTTTTTTCGAGTAGTGCGAAAGTATTTGGATGGAGACGTAAGCCGGCATCTCCATTATCAAGCGCGAATTTTCCTTAAAGCGCAAACACATTGATCCAAATTAGCGAATTAAACTCCTTTGATGATGAACTTGTCAAACAAAGAAGTCAGAAGACTCACTTTTAAAGATGCAACGAGATTTCTCTTTCCTTGTGCAATTCTCTGGCGCGTGTTTGCTCGCAGTAACGCCCGGTGTAATTTGTCGACGAGATGTTCCAATTAAAAATGAAAAATTGGGCCTATCTAAATGTTTACGTGTCTCTGGGAGAGTTAATTGGCGCTTACTTCTGACACAGTTCCCACTTCGTGTCGTGAGAGTGCCAGAGCTTAACAAAGATTGCGCATCACTCTCAATAAAGGACATGAGAAAAATGAACAAATAACGAGGACGCGGGGCGAGCGAGACGCGGTCGCGAAAGCGTCGATTAATAAATAAGCCCGCGCAATTTCTTACGACGTCGACGTTACGGTTTCTTCCGAATGGATGTTACGTCAGCCGCACAATTCGCCGCGATGGAAACGGCGCGAGGTTGCCTCTCGCGGGATCGCCGCGGCCCGTTGCTGCCGCTGTTGCACTCAGTAGCCTACCATTAAATTATGACAGACCAATAATTCCCCGACAGACATTGTTTGCGACCCGCCTGCCCGCTCGCGGGCAGTCTGAATGAAATTACGGTGATGCTTCACGTTACGCTGCCAGGGATGGGTCGTGGAGAGCGCACGGGCTCTCCTTCGCCGAGACGTCTTACTTCAAAAAATGGCTACCCGCGGGTCGCTTAATTACGACTCTACTCTCTGTGTGACGAACGATCGGCGATTTTTCGACGGGACTCGTCGTCGTTGTCGGGACAATGTTGCGAAATGATCGGGACTACGCCGCGAGTGAATCGCGAAGGGACCACCGTTTGGCCGATTTCTCGCGTTAAAAGCGTGAATCCCTAACCCTTTAACTGCTACGGTCGAGATAACTCGAGTGTGAGAAAAAATGGCGGTCTTGCTACGATCGAGTTTACTCGATTTGGACTTTCAATGCGTAATACCCATTTAATTTAGTTTGTCAAAGTTTAGTTTAGTTTGTATATCTTTTTTTCATTCAAAAATGTGAATTTGTAAATATTTTGTAAATATTTGTAAATAATTGTAAAAATAACTCAGCAAAGAGGGTCACACTGGTCATTTAATATCTCAGCAGTTAAAGGGTTAATCCTGGGCAAGCGGGATTTACCGCCGTTTTGCTTGTATATAAAATAAAATTCGTGCGTTCGTTATGTATGAAATTTCTTGACTTTGTTCGTTTGAATATTATTTTCACGGAGACCGAAACTAGTGGAATTTAAATATCTCCAGGACACATTTCCGCCCTTACAACTTTGCTCGAGCAAGGGTTAAAACAAAAATTACTCTTCCCTCACGACCTCATTTGCGAGAGAGAGAGAGAGAGAGAAACCTGTGGAATTGGTCATAAAATATTTCGGCTGCGGAAGGGAAGTTCCCGTCAAGTATTCCCCATCTAGTCATCATTCCAAACGCATGACGGTACTCACTTGGTCGCAGATGATGTCCCATTTCTTCTCGTTGTCGTACTGCTTCAAAAGCTTCGCCTTGTCCGGCGGCAGGTCCATGGAGGCCTGCAACACACGAAAAGCGACATATCGCTTTAATGTCTGTCGGCGCTTCTGCATGCGAGAGTCCCGTTCCCTCGACACGGGGTGTGTAACGGGAACGAGCCGTCGCGATCATTTGCGCGAGATAATTAGCGCGCCGATGCCGCGGCGTCGCGGACGCAATTTGAGAATCTGCGTGGGCAATCGCGGGGACTATTATCGTCGACAGATTGACTAATGGGCAGATGGGACTGTCGCGCGGGAAATGGAAACGTAATGAAATCGAACGGGCGAAACCGCGGGGGAATTAATGCAACGGAGCCGCCAAGTTCTTTGATGCGACTCTGAAAATTGCTCTCTTTTCCCCTTTGCTTCCGGCGGAAAATCCATCCAACGGGACAATTCGCGACGGAACTCGTTTGATTTTGTCGATTACCAAAATTTCACGCAAATTCCGACGATGGTTTGAGATTTAAGATCACCAGAGAAGCAGAAAGAGAGAGAGAGAGAGAGAGAGAGAGAGAGAACGCGTAGTTCGTCGCAAGTTTGACACGTGTGCGCGCGCGGTTATGGCAAATGAACAATTATCAACGGACGGATGCGGAAGCCGCGATTGCGTGACATCACTCACGTACACACACACACACACACACACACGCGCGCGCGCATACATTAAAGTGTTGCTAAATAGCTGAGAATCCCACTTGCGATACGACGAGCGCGTTCGCTCGCAGGATACGAAGCGCATTAAATCGCGAATCATTCGCGAGCACAGTTTCGAAAAACGATCTCGTTAGGGTGCGCTATTATTGCGTTATGATTAAGCGAGCAGATGACAGATAATTGCCGTAAGCGTACGAGGTGTTCCGACGGCGCGGCCGGATAAAAACTAACGACGTTGAACGCCGCGCAGCGCCCGCACCCTCCGCCGGTGACTTCTAATGGCGACCTGTAATTATCGTTTTATTAGAAATCCGTCGTGAACGGGGCTGTAATACGTCGTCGAATTTGTTCAGAAGTCGAGAGTCCGACAATTACGCCGCTAAAGCGCTCCGCTAGCCAGTTCTCGTCGTTCTCCGTGCTATACACATTGCTTTCCCTTTCGTCGATAATTTTACAAATAGCCGCGCGGCTTCTCCTTTTTCTCTCTCTCTCTCTCTCTCTCTCTTTTTTTATTGTCTCCTTGAGCTCGTTCGACGTTCGATCGAACGATTTGAATTTCGAAACGAGTTCCTCCTGGCAATTAGTACCTTCCCTCGGCAATTCACACTTTTACCGTGTATATCTCTTAGTAACGAATACTTTCACTGTATATGTTTTCCAATATAATTTCAAGAATCGATATTACAGATACGCTCGTTTCGACAACTCACACGAGAGTCAATGGTACACGGGAGGACGATGCTCGATCGTAAGGGGAGCAATTTCACACGCAAATGACACGCGCTCAAGCTTTAACTTTCTGCTGTATCGGATGAGAAACAACATTGCACCGGCTTTTTGAATACATTATCGCGCGGTTATCACCTCGCAGGACGAACGAAGAGAGACCAACACTTTTGCCCGGTTGCCCTGCTCCTTAGAGAAAGCTAACGCGCACGTTCTCCTTCGGTGACCAGGATGGGTTACAATTTCCAGCAACGTAACGCGATTTCTGTTTCCGTTCCGTGGCAATGGCTACCGTGGCGCTGCAATTCCATCGCATTAGCATAATATTTGTTCTCGAGTTATGGTTTCTACTCAACTGGAGCGAGTAATTCTGTTTGGTCTCTCTCTCTCTCTCTCTCTCTCTCTCTCTCTCTCTCTCTCTCTCTCTCTCTCTCTCTCTCTCTCTCTCTCTCTCTCTCTCTCGTTCTCTCTTTCATTTTTCGACCGTGTAACAGAAGTGCAGAACGAGTTTCCGTATGGGAAAACAAGGAGGAATAATAAAGGGGGAGCTAAACAAATGAGCTAAATGGTAATTCTTCTTTGCATTTTAAATACATTTTTCTGAGTTTCCGCTTGAACGAGACATCGAAGAAAGATTTGACATGAAAACAGTCGCGAAATTAAATCGGAATACAACTTTTACGTTCGTTAAGAAATACTTTTTTTTCATTTGGGACATTCGCAAGAAGATGGACCATCGACATTAATCAGCGAGATACAATCGTTCTCATGAATGAGAGAGCTCGTGCGATTCTTCAACGAGGAAAATTCGCACGTACACATCAGTCTTCGGCGTTTGAGATTAACCACCTGGACGACATCGGAGAAAGATTTGACATGAAAACAGTCGCGAAATTAAATTGGAATACAACTTTTACATTCGTTAAAAAATATTTTTTTTTCATTTGGGACATCCGCAAGAAGATTAACCATTGACATTAATCAGCGAAATACGATCGTTCTTATGAATGAGAGAGCTCGTGCGATTTCCCAACGAGGAAAATTCGCAAGTACACAACAGTCTTCGGCGTTTGCGACTAATCCGTTCTCGGTTTCGCGTCCGACGCGGCTCGACAGCGGCTTCGCCGCTCGAGTGACAGTTGCTTTAAATCCACTTTGAGTGCACTTAAGAGAGCAAACAAGAGGGACAGCAGAAGCGACACGTCCCGTCGGTAATCCTCCCGGAATTACATAACCGATAACTCTGAATGACGTGACGAAAAGTGCCTTTTAATGGTCAAGTTATCGACATCTCCTCGGCGCAAAGCACCGCTGCTGGCTGCGCAAGGTGAAGCGTAATACAGCGGATTCAAGTCGCGTGTACGCGGAGAACGTTGATCCCCGTATAAGAGCTTCTTACCGGCAACCTTCTCGCTCCGCTCCCACCTCCGTCTATCACATTTTACCCGAAGAAAAGAGGTAATTGAATAAGAGGGATGATTGATTGACTCCGCGACTTCTTTAACGACCGATATCACAACGTCATCGCGGGACAATCACGACAATTTGTCGCTGGCTGTCATGCGTCGGAGAGAACCGGCCGACATCATGAGGAATTCTTCAATTACGTCTGTCCCAGATAGACTGTTACGCTACACGTTACCGGAATGCACGAACACCTCGATTGCGAAACGATCCGTTTGCTACGGTTCATTGCACCGCCGCGCCGCCAAGACGATCCCGCTGATCGATTAGAATGCAACATTTCGCGCTCACCGTCCTCGCGACGAGAGTTCACAACTCGGACTCGAGTCGGTTATTCTCGCGGATGAATCGAGGAGGTCACTTCTTTCTGAAATTCTCCTCAAATCGCTCTGCAATTTTGTCGGTTGATTCTAAAAAGCTTTAACGTTTATACAAGTGCCGTTTTATAGTTTCGTCGGAAATAACGTTCTGAAAGAGACTGCCATTTCTGAAAGACGTATAATTAAATTAAAATATTAAAATACTAAATTAAATTCGAAGTAATTAAAATTAAAATATGAATATCTAGACAAAAGATTGCGACACGTGAGAGCGTGCATTCGCGGCGAGCGATCGTCGCCTTTCGTCGAGAGTTTCGCTCTCGCCCGATGTCGAGAGCCAGCCGCGGTCGACGATTAGTGAACCAAATTCGCCGGATGACTCGGGCTGGTAAGCCAGGCGGAGAAAGCGTGCGCGACTTCTGCTACGCCCGGTAGATGTGATTGTTAAGCTCGCTGAAACGCAGTCGGAGAGACGGAGAGCGGCACGTCGCCGACGATCATTGGTCTCGCTTCGTTGCGGCGCGCTCTCGCTTTTAGCGTGACAGCGATACGGATCTTCGCTCCCCGGTGAAGTGTTGCACGAAAAACTGCCGGTCGTGACGAATTTGCTGTAACTCGGGGCGTCTCAAAATAACTCGGCAAATAAGTGGCGCGGCGATCTCCGGATACAGAGTTAAGCCCGCATAAGTGAGCGCGCGGATAGAAGCGAATCATTCGTACAGAAACTCGACTGAATTCCGAAGCGACAAATGACGCTGAATGATCGTTCATATCGAAATGTTCGATGGGCGCAAGTGATTCTGAATAATATTGTTATTCGAACGTCTTTTCGGTATCGGTGCGTCTGTCCTCTTCTAATTTTTCCTAAATTCCAACATTTTTCAATTTTCCTGAAATAAAGTGATTGCTCTCCAAGTAAAGAAACAATATCGATCTGCAGAATTAACGCGACTGTAAGTTGAAGAGAGAGAGAGAGAGAGAGAGAGAGAGAGAGAGGAAGAGAGAGAGAGAGAGAGAGAGGAAGAGAGAGAGAGAGAGAGAGTGACTCTCTCCGGACCATCGCGGCAGAATCGCCGCTAGACGAGGATCTCGCTCTCTTTCCCTCCGAGCAAAAATCGGCCGGCGATAAATGCGTAGATGACTAGACTGAATTCCCGGTATTACACGCTGCGTTGCGTCGGCATAATGAAACGAGTGTTTTCAGGTCAAGAGTCACCGGAAACGAGGTTAGCTGCTGCTGCGGCAGCGATTAGAACGGGCGTCGACTAGTAGCAACACGTGCGAGGACGCGTCTCGATGGACGAGAGAATGAAATTGTGTTGCCGAACAGCAACGCGTTAACGCAGCGTAAACGTACTATACGAATCGTGAGCGCGAGAATAATCGAGAAGGAGGAGGAGGAGGAGGAGGAGGAGGAGGAGGAGGAGAAGGAGGAGGGGGAGGAGGAGGAGGGGGAGGAGGAGGAGGAACAAACGGTATTACGCGGTGTGTCGATGAACACCCGAGTGTCATGCACACAAGGAAAATGCGATAATTGCGCGATCGAGGGAGGCGTCGCCGAGAGGGCGAAAGGGCGAACTTGGATAATGGTCGTTTGATAATCGACTGAAAGGGCGTCTATCACACACAGTTCTACGATGAGTTTGCCGGCGTGCTAATTGGCTGTCGGATAGGAACTTCTCGGCCAGTTGCAGAGGTCAATGCGCGACGACCCCAATTCTCCATCAGATGTTCAACGAGCGACTCGCGACGAACTTGCCGTATGACGAATTTAATAGAGAGCCGGCAAAAAGAGAGGAGGAAAAACGTGATCTCGTCATTTTTAAGAGAGACAGAGACAGAGAGAGAGAG